ATATATATATATATATATATATATATATATATATATATATATATATATATATATATATATATATACATTGTATATACAATATTAATATTTATATTTGAATTAAACAAAAGATCCCTGTGCTGTTGAGCAGCTGCATGGGTTCTAGGGCTGCATGCATGCATGCGGCCTAGCAGCAGCAGCAGCAGCAGCAGCAGCAAGTGCAGCAGCACAAAGCCCCAAAACGAGCTGTAGATGCCGCGCAGGAGTTGTATTTATAATAACGCCATTTATTTCCATTTGTTTTATCGCAGCAACAAACCACAAACACAGAAAAGGAGACAAAAACTAACTAAACATAAAACACTAAAATATAAACCCCTAGTCTGTTGCTGCATCCAGCAGAATGCAAGCCAAATATATCTCCGCGTAGCCCCCGTCCCTGAAAACCAACACAAAACACAAACACCTCACCAGAGCAGCAACTGCAACAGCAGCAGCAGCAGCAGCAGCAGCAGCAATAGCGAGAATACCACAAGCAGCAGCAGAAGCAGTAGCACCAGCAGTAATAGAAGTAGCACTCATAACAGTACCAGCAACCATAGCAGCGACAGCAACAGCACAGGCAGCAGCAACAACAACAGCAACAGCAGCAGCAACAACAAAAACAGAGACTAGCAGTAGCAGCAGTAGCAGCAGTAGCAACAGCAGAAGCAGCAATAGCAGCAGCAGCAGCAGCAGCAGCAGCAGCAGCAGCAGCAGGTTCTGACTGTTGATCGTTTCTAAGGCTCCACGTCTCGTGGGGGGCTATCTGAAAGAAAGCTCCGCGCAGCAGCTCAAAGTCCTCGCCGTGAGTGGTCAACACCAATGGTCCCCCAGACAATACAACCCCAAACTGCATGCATAAATAAAAGAAATAAATATAAAAATAAATATAAATAAATATATTCATACAGGTAACACATAACACAGATGAGATACAGCCAAACACACGCCGACAAATCAAAAAAAAAAAAAAGACCAACAACAC